TTAGAGATAGAATTAATTTAATTTACCGAAAAAAAACATAATAAATCGATTGTTTATTTGTTTGTTTTGCAATTTTTGGCGCAAACTTACAACTATTAATTTTAAGGAATGTCTCTTTACTGCAACATAAACAGGTTGATAATCATTAATAATAAGCTGTTTATTACCTTCAAAACCTTGGAAGCCACCATAGTTCCACGATGTGAGCGTGGTCATTCGGAGTGTTTATGATTACGATATTGTACTGTTTCTTTGTTTTGTGTGGCAAGACATGTTTTGGAAGGTCTGTGGCTCCCCTCTATTCCCATCTCTGATTCAATAAAATACCAGTAAATACCTTTGACAGAGCTTCTTGTTTTTGGCACCTTTAATTTTCTTTCTGATCTTTTACTTTCCGATTTTGTACTTTTATTTCCCAATTTTCTGTTGCCTGTTCGGGAGGTGGAGGATTTAAAAATTTTTCTCTCCCAGTTATTTTTGGTTCAGGAGTTTTTTATTCTGTATGCTATGAAATATTTGGGACTTTATTGACGGATATGATTTGGTGGTTTTAGCATGAGAAATGCTTGGTGGTGGTTGACGACAGGTTCTAAACAGTTTTTAGTTCAGGATAGCAAAATTTTTATAACTTTAATGGCTGCATTTTTTTCTCTTCTTACCATTTAAGACGGGCTCGTGCGTATGGTGGACGGTCAACATGATAGTTTACACATTTTGGTTCATCAATGAAATCGTGATTTTCATGAACTGTCATCGAACAAGGAGCACAAGCAATGCTGCCTGGACCGCTGACAGAGAAAACAGCTCGATGGTTTCGGCAGGTTATGGTCTGAGAAGACAATTCAGGTACCTCGCCTTAATGGAGTCTGGTTGCTCTGGAGATGAGAACATCAGGATAATATGCTTTGCGTTAACAAGTTGCTCATGAGTATTGATTTTAATTCGGCGAGCCCCCACACACGTTTTTCTCAGACTGATATCAGGCCAGTTTCTGAAATGGCAGCTCTAGACGTGTTCAAAGAATTACGTGGAGACACACTAATAAAACGCTCTTCCCTACTTGTCATGTTTAGGAGGCAAGAAGATTGTGCATTAAATATGGTCTCGACGAGCAGACAACCTGGAAGAGCTTTTTTATGCTTTTAGGCTTGCCAACTGAGGCCACAATATATTTATGGACAGAGAACGGTGATAGAATTTCCAGTTGATGAATGATGACTAAGAATATAGGAGATTTGATGCTCTCGCTAACGGTGGCAGAAGTACATACTCGCTTAACATTTTCAGAATTTTTCGTTTCCATGGGATTAGGAGAAGAAATTATAGTTGCCATATTGTAAATAGAAAAAATTCGTGCCCGACCGCGCCACCCGCTATGGAGCCCAATGAGGGAACACGGATCCCTATGTTAGGGTTACTCGGGCCTACTCGCAGACTAAAGCTGGAACTCCGAAAGCTTATCCCCAAGTCACCGAAACGACGGACTAATGATCAGCCGATTGACACTAGCGGAGGCAGCTAAGTGCCTCCCGTTTTTGCTGAAGCAGAGGCCAAAGCAGCATGTTAAGGACAGTATCTCGCCTCTTAGCTACTAGGATTCTCTTTTCCAGCAGTACGAATCTCTTCGTACGACAAACGCGTAGGCAGTTTTTCTCCCTATGATGAGACAGAAACAAAGAGTAGTAACTGCGCCTCAAAGCGGGCTTCATTCTCCGCCTCGTGAGCAAAGTTCAGTTGTCTTGGGCGCCTGGTAAACTCTATCCCAGTCAAATGAGTAGTCTGTTTCGGATCATTGTCTAGCGTGCCACAAGGGAAAGAGGGAGGGAAAGCTGAGAGAAGACGAAAAGGAAATGAGGAAAGATCACTGCGGCTCTGGAATTGTGATACATGTTCAGAAAGAAGGTAATCCCCTGAAGGATATAATGAATCGAAGCACAGTATCAAATCTGAGAAGTTAAGGTTAATAGTTGAGCACAAGATGCAAGTCTGTTTCAGTACTTAAAATTTTAAGCCAATTTAGTAGAAAATACGATGTTAGAAAGTAACAAAATATTATAATAGTGTTACGAATTGTGTATTTAGATAGCTAATTTTAATAGAATTATAATTAAAATTGTTGTATTTTTCCACGCAATGCAGCACGAGACAAATTTAAGAGAAAGCTATGCCGAAAAAGTGAGAATACAGTGGCACGTGCATTTGAAACTGAATAAATGCAATTGACCACTAGGTTAGCTGTAACCGTGATTCCATCCTCTTATTGCTTTCCAGTAATTTCGAGAAGCGGAAATTACTAGAAATATCTCGCGACCAGTTGAAAACTATAAAAAGCCAGAGAGAGAGTATCTTAGCTCGGTTGCTTAGTTATTGTTGTGGCGAGTTGTTTAGTTCCACGTGAACTGAGACATTTGAATTAGCTTTCTCTTTAGATAATCTTTGCATTGTATTCTATTTTAACGTTTATAGTAGTCCAAAGTATAACTACTGATTTTCCTGCGTGACGTTGTGAACATTTGTAAGAATATCTCCGAGGAAAATTCCAGAGTTCTGATATATTTCTTTTGATAAGAATGAATTTTATTAACCTATTATCGGATTTGTGTATTCAATCTATTACGAACCCGTACGCTCGTAGCAATATTTTGCTACTCTGATCACAATTCGTGTATGTATAAATCTATAAGATATGTGTGCTAATATGTCCCTAGAGAGCAACTTTTGGTACATTGTAGCTGTTAAGCGATGTCACCGTTACGATATTAAATCACTATCTCAACAACAAAAGCGCTGTTTTGCTGTTTATACTGCTTAATGTTGCTAAATCTCTCCCCCAAGCTCAGAACGTTTGAATACGTTAAATTTGGAGAATTTTATGTTAAATATTTGTGAATAGGGAAGTCAAGGAAACCAACATACGTAAGATGCATTTTATATTTTAATAAATTAGTCTTTCAGACGCTGATGGAATTTATGTTTGTTGGTGCATATAATTCTTGGGGAAAGTTTTGCAGCTTAAATAGAATTTGATTTGATTTTAATTATTTTCAGCCTTTTCTTAAGTTTTTCTCACTTGTATTAGCGTCTCATTTTTCGATATTTCTTAACAACTTAACAGGAAATCTATACTTTTTACATTAAATATATTGTCATTTGCTTGCACTGAGAATAAAAATAATGGAAAGTGATGCACAGAAATGCGTGGAAATTTGTCCGGACCCTACATCGTTTTTCAACAGTTTATTTATAATTACACTGGTTATCATAAATTAAGGAAAAATCACAAAAATCATGATTATTGAAAAAGTTACATGTAGAATTTTATGAAACTTACCCAGAATATACAACATATAGTAAGGTATCAAATAACAAAAATAAATTACCAGACAATTATGGTAGTATAGAAATTAGCACATGTATAAAATGAACAAATCGAAGGTGGCAGTTTGCTATAGGAAAAGTACCTTCAATATGGAATATGGTCACCTCTAGAAGCAATACAGCACATACAGCGATGCGTGATGCTTTCAATTATGCGGTCTATCAGTTCCATAGGAACAACTGCTTTGCTCTTGCAAAGCAATTGCAAGCGCGGCAAGGGTCTGAGGGGGCGGATTGAGAGCAGCTAGACATCTCTCTAAAGCATCCCAAACGTGCTCGATAGGATTCAAGTCCGGGGATCGAGCTGGCCACTCCATGCGCATAATTGTTTCCTGTTGAAGATAATCATATACGATGCAAGCACTGTGTGGTCTTGCGTTATCGTCCTATAACAGGAAAGCATCACCTATTGCCCCGGCACATGGGCGCACATAAGCATCAAGGATGTCATCTCTATAAACCGGAGCATTCACGGTTTCCGTTGGAAAGACATGGAGGTCTGTGCGTCCACCCAAAGAGATGCCACCCCAAACACAGACACTGCCTCTTCCGTATGCATATCTTTAACAGATGTCTGACAGATGATAACGGGTTCCAGGTTCTCTCCATATCAAATAACCCCTACTATCGCTTTCTAGACTAAACCTGACTCATCCGTAAAGAGAACAGCCCTCCACTGATCAAGCGTCCAGTGAACATGTTGTCGTACCTACTGCAAACGGTCCCTCCTATGGCGTGACGTGAGCGGCACGTAAATGGCTGGTCGCCTCGCATACAGACCACCTTCCTGAAGCCTTTCTACGCATGGGTGACGTTGACAACAACCTTCCGGTGGCTGCAGCAAGGGAGGATCTAAGAAGAGTCGGAGTAGCGGTTCTATTCCTGTGCACAATGCGTGCACATAATCGGTCATCGGCGCTCGTCGTAGCAGTTGGCCGTCCTTGGCTTAACCTCCTAGATGCCGAATCTGTGGTTTGAAATCGCCTCCAATGTCTATGAACCACAGAAGGACTCGCATTTAGCCATCTGGCCAGCTCTGTTTGACTTTATCCTGCCTCTAGTCTCCCAATGGCTTTCCATCGTAGTTCTGCATGCAAATGATGCCTGGAGGTCATTGGTACGAATTGGCTATCTCAGATTTCTGATGTCATTGTCACAGTGAAATATGTGGGCTTGCTCTCAAACATGGACTTTTATGCTCCTCGCAGATGATGTATTCCGAAAGCAGCGCCACTAATTTGTATATTGCTGTTTTACTCAACTACTCTTACTTGGCAACATATTCAAATTTTACACGGTTTGGCTTATTTTTGAGGGAGTTATCGCTATTTTTGTGATTTTTCCTTAATTTATGATAACCAGTGTATATTAATTTAATTAAACAAATACATAGGACCAATATGGGCTAAAGTACTAAAATAGTTAAATTATGATAGTTTATAGTATTTCTGATAAAATAGGTTGATGTTCGAATTAATTACAGTAAAGATTGCTTAAAAAGTTTTAAACTAAAAATGGGCATTCATAAAAATCTGAAACACTATGTTTATTAGCAGGGCATTAAATTTATATTTAAAGACTTCAGAAAGATGTATCGAGTAAAAAGCTGAAGAAACACTTACTGATATGCTTCGTAAAATGGCTGCACGGCGTCCGCAGGTCCTTTCAATGGAGCCATAGTTCTGGTGTTATAATGTACTTCTTGCATTTCTCCAGTTTTGCTTACACACAAAACGTACTGATTGTTACAATATTCCATCTGCAAAAAGTGTATAAATCTTTTACTTGAGTTCAAACTGAAAAGAGCTGTTTGTATATAATCAATAGCAGTTAAATATCTGGTTATAACATTCATATTTTATTATGTGACACGTATGAAAAATGAATAATTTCCTTAAAATATTTTTCTTATTATTCTTAAATTGTAAAAAATATTTTAAGTGTGTAAAATGTCAAGTATTTCTTAGAGAAAAATTATGAAGTATTCTTTTCACTAATCTCAAAGTAAAGTTAAGTAAATTATTCGTAAAAAAGTATTTCTTAACGTAAAGCATTTTATAAAGCATTTCTGAAGTGACCTATTTTTAGCAATTTTCTTAAAGTTAAAAAAAAAATATTGGAAATTGTACTTTTAAGGGCGTATTTTAAAAAATGCATTTTTCAATAAAAATTGAAATACAAGCAAAATGGAATAATTTTAGATTTTTTTTCTCTTTTGGGTAAATGGGTAAATGAATATTATTTATTTTTACCATTAAGGGTAAAAATAAATAAAATGGAGATAAAAAAATTATTGCAAATTTCCTTATGCTGCAATCACGAGTTTGGACTTATAAGACGAACTGTTACAATAAGTCAGCAATGTTACTTCAAAACATTTACACCTTTTTTTTTTTTTTTTTTTTTTTTTTTAAATTCCGAGATAAACAGTCTTCAAAATCGTAAAAGTTGGACATTTGTATTAAAAATACTATTATTCAGTTTAGAAATGAGGACTTAATATATCATGCTATCAGAAAGCAATTGCATATTAGTTTACTTAGTGTTAGAAGTGTAGTGAGAAAGTTTCAGGAAACATCTTTATCAGAGAATGAGGTTAGAAAGAGACGGCCTTGATTATTTCTACAAGGGACAACGTGACATTGTTTTTCAAGTCTAGAAAAAAACCCCAAAATAGATGCACCCTAGTCAGCTCAACAAATGGGCAAATACATTGCAAAGAACATTTTGTATACAGCGGAGAGTAGGAAGCCTTTCATTTCCGAAAGAAAATGGAGAAAGAGACAAGACCTTGCATATAAGGTCTCGTTTAAGTTCTTTAACCAGTTATGTTATGTTAAAAACCGCTTTCATATCTTACTCATTTCCATTTTTCTGCTAGAATGTAAATTTCTAGTTCGTGCGATATTCAAATGAGGTAGAAAGAAAAGAATATTTAACGGGAGGTTTTAGCCGGGAGAATCAGAGCGTGTTCTGTCTGCGGAAGGTCACGTTGCTAATTGAATTTCCTTGCGAGCAGTATTCTGCTGTGTTTTGTTTTTCTCGCCATTAGGCTTGTTACGCGTACCTTAGGACACAGCCAACTAGCGCGTTATTCTAATTGTGCAGCTGTTAGGTTAATTTACTTTTCTTAGTTTTAGTTCAGCCATTATCTTTGGATTAAGCCAAACTTATTGGCTTTTGTAAGCACGAGTGGTGCCGTCTGTTAACTTTTTGAATCAAATATAAGGGTCCTTTACACCCTTTCCTCGTCTCCGTGCTACTTATAAGACATAGCGATAATTGGCTTTTAGTCTAGGAATTCTCGTGCAATTCATGTTACCTAAGAATACGCGACTAATTGAAATGATCGAGTCATATTCCCGGATGGATTGAAATTCAACATTTTTGGGAGTAACGGAGGGCATTATAGAGAGAGCCAAACACTGAGCTTGAAACACGAAATGCGTCGCTTACTGTGGAACAATGAGGAGGGAGTGTCTTAGTTTGGGACTGTGTGGTAGCTAACAGAGTTTGTAACCTGTACTTCATTGAAGATAAAGTGACAGCACTTATGTACATCAATATATTGCTCTGTAATTTAAAGCAAATGTTGAAAACCTTAGTTTGGCAACGTCATTTGTGTTTCAGCAGACCAATGACCCTTAGACAGCGTGCAAAACACAGAAAAGTTTATTGTATAATACACCTTGCCAGATGAAAACACAACAGAAAGCAGGATCCCAACTGAAAATTTTAAACACTAACTGGATCTAGTTGTCAGGAAGCACAAAATTTTGTTTAAGGAGAAACTTAAACATACACTTCTGCGAGAATGGCAAAAGGTATCCAATGATACGACCAAGACTTTGTTTCATAAATAAAGAAAAGACTACAAGCAGACATAAATGCAAATAGTACGTATGCGAAATATTAAATATTCCCCGTTTTTGTACTACATGTTGCTATAGGAATTTGCTAACACATTTTTGACATGTATATTTATGTTTTGGTTTGGTTTTACACTGCTCGACATTGAAAAATGCAACACTAAGAAGGAGTGGTCAGAAATTTATGCAAATTTTAGAGTAGACGCACGTCACTCAGTTATGCGAATGATGTGAAATGCGCAGCTCTCCGACCCTCGTGATGTAAGATATAAGGGAAGGAACGTGCAGAATGGGCAATATTCATGTCGTTATTTTTGCCAGACGAATTATCGAAGAAAGTTGGTTTTTGTTCCGGAGGATACGTGTAATAGGAGAGAATGACCAGGCCGCCGTAAACGAAGGCACTTCCAGAAGAAAAACTATTTTACGAGGGGTATGGTGATCGGACTGAGAAGGGCAGGTTGGTTTCTTACGTCAAATCGCAGCTGATACCCACATGGATGCGAGCACTGTGCATCGGCTATGGCGAACATGCTTGGAACAAGGAAATGTGGGGAGAAGGTGCAGCCAGAGTGACGTTAGCACGCGTGGATCGACGCATACGCCGACAAGCTGTGGCGGTCCCGCAAGTCACTTGTACCGAGATTTTGCAGCATGTGCAAGATATACCCTAGATATTCCCGTGTCGATCAAAACAATTTCCAGTCAATTGGTTGAACGTGGCCTGCACTCACGGCGTCCGTTAAGAAGACTGCCATCGACCCCACAGCATAGACGCCAACGTTTAGAATGGTGCTGGACTGGAGCGATGTGGAGGACAGAATGGCGAAACGTAGTGTTCTCAGAGGAGTCACACGTCTGTTTATCCAGTGCCAATTACCGCATACGTGTGTGGAGTTGACGTGGAGACAGATCTAACCCCGCACTAACTGTGGAACGCCCCACCGCGCGACAACGTGGCATAATGGTTTGGGGCGCTATTGCCTACGTTTCCAGGCCACCTTTAGTTCGTATTCAGGGCACTATGATGGCCCAACGATACTTGGATAATGTGCTGCGGCCGGTGGCAATCCCCTACATTCAGGGGCTGCCTAATGCAATTTTTCAGCCGGATAACGCCCTACCACACAGTGCTCGCATCTGCCAACATGCTCTGCAAGGTATACAGATGCTTCCCTGGCCACCGCACTCTCCTGACCTATCACCAATTGAACATGTGTGGGATGTAATTGGACGCCGTTTGCAGACTCTCCCCTGCCTCGTTCAGAATACGAACTGTGGCAAATGGTTGAAAGAGAATGGAGGACCATCCCTCAGGACACCATCTGCACTCTTATTGACTCTATGCCTAGACGTATTTCTTTGTGCATCGCTGTCCGCGGTGATCCTATATCCTACTGAACCGACGCCGTTCTCGCTCTGTATTCTGACTATCATTTTGAAATAAAAATCACTTATTGCTGCTTGCTGTCTCTGTCTTTTTTCCAAATTTCATCACTTTCTGACCACTCCTTCTTGGTGTTGCATTTTCAGCGTCGAGCAGTGCATTTCTGAAAGGCGAATTAAAATGACAGTTTCATTAAATTTAACTTTCCGTTTCATTACACTTACTGTCCTCGGCTAAGTAATATGTTTAAATACAGACAACTGCTAATACGTTTCTCAACCCACTGAAAAACCCATTCTCAATACTTACATTATGGCTATAAATTTTGAATTCCACTAAGGTTGAAGTAAGAACATGGAAAGAAGCAGGATGTTCTTTCCGCAGCCATTTGGCAATATAAAAGCCATCTACGAAAAATGATTGGCCGCCGATGCTGTCACTATCACTAGAAGGATTAGCCTTTAAACAGTGAAGTGCTTGAAGACCTAAAATAATTAATTATCTGTAAAATTAATTCCAAAATATAAAATACATTTATAATTAATAAGAGATCATATTTAAAAAAGCTTTTCGAACATGAAAATCCTTTTCTCACTATTTTCGAAATAATAATAAAAAAAAACTTATTTTTTACTACGAAAACATTTCCAGTTAAAAAATGGGCGATTTGAAAATATCGCGAAATAGTGTCATAGTCCAAATATACAATAAAAGCCGCACTTATGAAGAATGTAGTAATTTGGAGCATTTTAAAACAGAATTTTATATTAATATTCTATTAAAGTGTTTGAATTGTTGTGCAGGGTGGTTTCAACTCCCTAAAGAAAAGAGTTTATTACTTTTTAAATACTTAAAGAATTTTCATGAAACAAAAACATTTTGTTCCTTACTATGGTATAATTTATTACATGATATCTTATTTATGTCTTTGCAGGTATCAGTCGTAGACCATGGTGCAACGTTTAACCTTGGGTGAGCGGGCTCAGCTGGCATCCCGGTAAGTATGCGATCCGTGGTACAAGTACAGAGATGAGAAAGGACTACTTGCCTTGGGAGATGCAGAGACCATAAGGAACTGGCCATTGCATCTACCGACCACCGCATCTACCAAGCTAAGGCTGTTCTGTATCAGATGTTAGGAGATGCGGTCGCCCGTCAACATCCAGGGCGCAGGAAAATGTGCAAGCGGTTCAGGAAATGTTCACTGGAAGTCCTCAGACATCATGATGACAGTCCTCAGACATCTCGCGAAAGTAGTTTAACCCGACACACAAAATCCACACCGGGATGCCAGCTGATCCCGCTTAAGTGAGGTTAGGCGTTGCACCGTAGTTCGCCACTGACACTTTCAATAATATAAATGAGATATCATGCAATACATTCTATATTGTAAGTAATAAAATTTCATGAAAATTCGTTAAAGATTGAAAAAGATATAAACAGTTCTCGGTAAAGAGTTAATTCTCGCACATCCTGTACAATCAAAAGAGAGGAAAAAAACTACACACACTGGCTAATGAAGTGGAAACCCAAGATCAATATTTTAATGGACCACCTTTTGCACGGATAACTGCTCTGATTCGTTTGGACATACAGTCTACATTCTTCTGGAGTGCATTTACGTTCAGAAAATTCCATGCATTGGCTATGCAGCATTTTAGATCTTGTAAATTAGAAGAAGACAGTGCTGTCGGATGTGTCTCTCCACCACATCTCACACATTTTGCATGGGACTAAGATCCCGGCTATGCGGTAGTCAGGGAAGGTGTTGGAAGTCAGACTGATGTTCAGCGAACCAATTTTGAACACTTCTGGAAGCATTATGGTCCATGAAGTATCCGTTATCATCAGGGGAAAATGCAATATAGCAAGGTGCGCTTGATCTGCCAGTATATCTAGGTGTCTCATGGCTGTTTGTTTACCCTCGAGGAACACCAGGATATTACCTCCATACCAGCAGAATATGCCCCATATCATGATACTCCCATCAGACCATTGCACAGTGGGAATAAGGCAAGATAGATTAACCCTTTCCGGCACGCTACCTTTTAAAGTCGGAGTTTTGATAAAAAAAAAAAAGTAGGCAGTCTAATTAGGCCTAGAGAAGTACACAAGTAAAATTTTGTGAAGATAGCACTTATCTTTTAATTCTGTGGGTGTGCCCAAATTGGGCACACTAATTGAATAGAGCTTCGAAAAGAGTGCTGAAACGAGCATTGTTGTCAATAAACTGACCGATGAGATGCGGAGAAACAAAGGATGCAATCTCTCAGTTGTCCTAGATTATCGGTGAGCCCGGTTTGGGCACACCTAGGGTTTCGCCGTTTGATTTTAGGCAATATTTCAATGTAACAATTTAAAACTAATATAGAATAAGGAGATTAGCATACAGCCAAAAATATAACAGAAATTTCTTTTCAAACAATTCCTTTTATACCCTAAAAAAATCTGGAAGATTTCTTTGAAAAATGAGGATCTTAAAAACTAAACATGGCTAAAATATATGGATTGGGTTTGTGTTGAGCTGCCATCTACTATAAATAAAAAGAAGGTTCAACGTAATCTATAGTAACCTTATAAATCCTTTTTTTCATTCAATTTTTCTGTGCGTACAGAAGGAAATTTTTAGGTGTGACCGGACACGCTGTGTCGCAAAGGGTTAATGGCTTCAGGGGGTTCTCGCCAAATTTGACGTTTTCTATCAGTGCAAAATAAGGTGCGCGATTCATCAGATTACATTACCAGTTTCCAATATTCAACTTTCCAGTGTCTTCTTTTCCCACACCACTGCCAATTGAATTGTTGCATGTCGGGCGGAAATGAGTGATTTTCTCACAGACACCCGACTATGCATTTCTATCCCCTGCAATTCTCTGTGCATGGTTCGAGCTAAAATCTCTTGTGAAGAGCCTTGGTTGACGATCTGTGTCAGTTGAAGTACAGTAGAGTTTCTGTTCTGCCGTACAATTCGCCGGAGACGCTGATGATCATTCTCTTGAAAAACTCTGCTCGAACCGTAGTTACGTCTTCTAGAGAAGGACTATGGGTTCTGATTCCAACTTTTGAGAACACAGGGATATTTGCTGTCTTCGAAATCGAAGCTCCTGCTAAACGGGCAACAACAATAACCCTTTTTCTAATGGTGAAAGATCTGTCGTTTTTCCCACTTTAGTTTATTCATCGTGAAAAGCACTCTTACACTTTACTTATACTAGTATTCTAACCACGTCAAAAAAATTTGCATACTTCTTTCCTAGCAAGCATTCAAATGAAAATCTCAAAGGTTTGTAATTCACTGACCAGTGTGTGTGTATATCGATATACAAAATTAACCCCCAAATATGACTTAATTTGCATTATATTTTGGTCTCTTTAAATTAATAGGCATTTGCTAAGGATTTTTGCATTCAATTGCTTTTAATAAGTACACTGTTATACATTTAAGTTGCTATACCATAAAGAAAAGCAAAATCATATTTATTTTACAAATATATCATAATGAAGGGATGAAATTAAAATTTCATACAATTTTAAGGCACAGAACATACAAAAGTCAGAGCTCCGAGCAACTGCCTTTGAGGAATAACAGTAGCCGTTACATGGAATTGAAAAGACTTCTGATATTATTCGGAAAAAAATATTATTCAGACAGGTATTGCAGTCTATGACACTTCATACCTATGCCAGAGCTCATCTTTCTGTTTGTTGTTATGCCAGTCTATACAGCTATTAATCAGATGCTTTCGCTTGTGAAAACTCTAGGGAAGGTAAGTTGAGTTGGAGTGAAAAATGGTACGATAGATGTCCCGAAGATTTGGCATAGGCACGGCCATTTAAAAAAAAATCAAAGTACCGAATGTAATAAAATGAACGGGATGCGTATCCAATAGCACTCCATACTATCAATCTAGGTGCTGAGGAGATAAGAGGTTGAATGCAGGTTTTCAGCATCTATTCCCCCCCTTTATAAATTCCCTTTTTTAGCATCTATTCCTCTATGGTGTCTAGAAAGTATTTTCGACTCGCCTTCTCACTCTCCGCATATTTAATCTTTTAGGGATCGAGCGTTAATCCGTTTCCTCACGTTGTAACGAACGTTTATCCATGTGTAACATTTTAGTATACAGCCTATTTTTTGATAGACTTCATCTGAAGGGTTTCGGTGCCTATCGTGTCACTCTTGATCATTTAATCGTCAAAAATATGTCAGCTCCAATGTATATAGATATTTAGAAGAAACTGGATTCTATGATCTAATCTGATTTGGTTTTAGAGTAGTTCAGTAAATATACAATGCATTTTAATTCATTTCATGCATTTAGAATTTTGCTGGTTTTATATTCAAGAAAATATTATTTTATTACTTTATTACAAATTTTGGTAAATTTTTTACTCTACTTACCATATGTTTGATGTGTCATGGCCTTTAGGGCTATGTTCAATAACTCGCCTATCCATCCATCTGTGCACCTTCGGTGCCTTCATATATAGATAATGCCAACATGATGCTGCAAACAAAAACGGGATCCGGCAATAAAGGTAAACTTTATGTCGTCGAAGGCGCCATTTAAGCGCTGATTCCTGTGCTTTAACGCCAAGTGATGCCGCAGCAATGGCCGCCGAAATACACCTTATTTGACGATCCAGGTTACATGACGTGACTTTCTGTACGATCCTTACAGGGATGTGGATAAGATGTTTGCCATCTAGAGCAAATCTTGAGTGTTGGACGTTGGGATCGTGCACATCGCTGTGCGACCCTTCTATACTCATCCGTTGCAAATTCTCATTGCAGTCATTGAAATTGCCCACTACGTTTATCCGCTGTCCGGTAGGCTACGATTCTTCTGCTGGTATAACTTCTTTTCTACACAGCCCATAACACGATTTACAACCTCGCCATTTTAGACTGCACTTTTATATTGCTTCGAAATGTCACTAGTGTTGCTTATAAAGTCCATTTGCCATAAAATGCTAATCATTTGTATATCCCAATGTGCTTTACATTTCGTGCAAATTTCAGATTTATTAAGCAGTTCCTTTACAATGTAGCAGTTTTAATATCCAGTAGAGTATATTTATGTGTATCATATTTTAGATTTCTTATTCGAATCTGGTAGTATTAAATGTATCCTTTCTTTTGGTGCAACAGTGAAGGTTTGAATGAATGATTGAAGTTAATAAAATGGCCGAATAATAAAGAGACCTCACGTGTCTTGGACCTCAAGTGTATCACATAAAAAGTATGTCGCACGATGTTTAATAATCATAGCTTCAAAAAAATATTGTTATTTTACTAAAGAAACGATCTTTATACAAGATCTCTTAAAACCAATAAAAAATTAAATTCATAGAAATGATAAAAAATAATTTTGAAATTTTATAATCACTATATGATGGTAAGAGCAAATATTATATCAAAGAAAGGCAAAACATGAAAGAAAGTAAATACCAGGCGATTTTTCCAAATAATTCATGTCCGTATGGTGTTCCAAGTACATTCCAGTATAAGCCAAATGGTTGGGATCATTTTGCACTGGCTCACAAAGAACATCAAATGAAGAGCCCCACTTAGTTTTTTTTATGTATGCGACTCTTTCGATAACTTTAATAACTTCTCCTTTTTCGCATGGCACGTCTAGAGAGAAATATTTAAATAATTTTATTTTATTTCTGTTTCAGAAAATGATGCTATTATAATTAGTAAAATATTTCGTCAAATCCTTCCAAAATAATGATTAATATAAGTGAAAGAAAAATATTTTTTTAACGTGTCTTTTTGTAGAAATTATGCGCGGACTGTTTCTGCACTATTATTAAAAGGCAGATAGCTTTTAACACTAGAAAGACTGAAACTTACTATATACCTATATTGCCCAAAAGCAGTCAAAATGACTCCATTGTGAAAGAATAACTAATGCGTAAAGAAATTTAAAATTCATTTTTAATATTTTTTTATATTATTTACAGTTATATAAAAGTTATTAGTAAATATTAACAATAAAAAATTTACTTCACTTGGGGAAAAATGTAATTTATGCATTATTATTTATACATTTTTTGCAAATGAAAGTGGAAATTTTTTTATGTGTACATCTTCCGCAAACATGCTTTTGACATTTTTCAAATATATTATTTGTTTTGTTGTTGTGGCAAAGTTGTACTTGACAAATTTGCGTAGACTGTTGGCCCTTTCACAACCTTGAAAATATAAGTAGATGGTAAACCTTCCAGAAATACCACATTCGTCAAATTTTAACCACACAGTACCATCTGCAGCTGTTTCGGTCTCCTGAAAGGTGTTTTCAGTTTCTTCATCAGAGTCTCTGAACTACTTAGCACCCTAACACCTTTTCCTGGGCATATTGAGGACATTTTTTTCTCATCATTGGTGATCGGCTGTTCATCACTATCTTCAATGTCAGATGTTTGATTTTGAATATAATCCGCTTCATCTTCAGACGACAGTTCAGAATTTGTTGCATCTGATTCTATATCTGAGCTCTCTTCACTTATGTCGTTAGCTTTTCCAATAACTCACTTCTATTCGACATTTCTTTCAAGAATTTAGGACGAAAAAAAAATAAAATAAACAACTTGTTAGAACAAGTATCACTGCATAAAGATTCGAATAACAAGTACTACTTTAAATTATTGAGAAACTGCAATTTATCAAGTATATGCCGAAATCGACAATTTATCATGTACTGTAATGGCATGTTATCATGTGACTGTAATCGAAAAAAAAAGGAAAACTGTTATTTCAGTGCAAAGCCGAACTGGTCATATAGGAAATTTACTCAATTCAATAATAAGAGTCATTTGATTTTTTAAAATTTCACAAGCAGTCAAAATGACTGCTTTTGGGCAATATAGGTATAGCATATATATATATACCTGAAATTAAAGAAGGGGAGGAAACTACAATTATTAATAAACGCATTTATACGTTGTACAAAAAGTATAAGAAATTGCGTCATTATATACATAACTGTTTTTCTAATTGAAATTAAACAGCCGTCAAAATGACTTCCTTGGGAAATCTAGTGTTAAAAGTTTTTTTTCTCTTTTTCTAGAGAAATTTGCAGGAATGGTTTTTCTAGCTTGCTACATGCTACATTCGATACACTGCAAATTTTCTTCTGGCAGGAAAAGTTGGCCTAAATGTGACTGTTTTTCAGTTCCTTAAATATCATAAGAAAAACTTTCATTGCACTGAGTATTCGATTTAAAAGCTACACACACACACACTCATACACAAAAAAAAGTTAAAGAAAAAAACGCATAAATTTCTGTATATGAAATATTGAACCGGATTACAACTGTGATAATGAAAAAAGAAATTATTGAATAATTTTTTCCAAACATTCAGTGAAAAATAACACATTTATTTAACATTCGGTGTAACGTGTAAATAAATGCACCATATTTTGCAATGCTAAACAAATATAAATAAAATTTATAAGTTAATAAAATATTCAGTTTCGAAAATTCAACTCTTAAAAATTAAAAAATTAGATTTACAACTGTAGATATCTACATTAAAGCTGAAACTTTAAAAAAAAAGTACCTGAAATGATTTTGGTAAATCTATTGTAGAGTCATTAGAGTTTTCAGAAGCAGAAAACATGAAAAATGTGCAATGCCTGGCTGGGATTCAAACTCTGGACCCTCCGATTACTAGGCAGAAATGCTACCAGTTAAACCACGAAGGCACGAGGTAAGGGGGAGGAAAACCCCTTAAATTCATACCCGTTAAAGGGCAACTGTGAAGACGGGGACCTTGCAACATTTAAGCAAGCTTTGTTTCAGTAAATATCATCTGAAGGATAGGATGAAAGTTTAATGCCGACTATAGGTGACATTACGAAATAAAATGTTTTTTATTACCTAAAGTATTCTAATTTTATATTATGAAATTATAAAACGTGCAGTCACTTTTAGTGCGTCATCTAATATCCGAGTTCATTTAGATATCAAGGGTTTCAATGAATTAGTTGAAAATTTTACTTATGGATATTTAAGATTAGAGATTCACGGTTCGAAAACTCTAAATCCGATTTTTATTTAAATCTCTGCTTTATGTTGTGAAAGAATTTATATATCAAAAGTTACTTTTAAACGAACAATGAGAAGATAGTTTTGTGTGTTTGAGTGTAATGTCATGTACTGTCATTGTAAGATTACTTATATCTTTTGTTGCTTACCTCCAAAATAGTATTCAACATATAATTTTGAGAGGAGTCCGAAAGAATAAGTGTTATGTAATAACTGAACGTGTGCAGACATTGAAATTCAACATAATTTTAAATTACGTGAGTCAATAAGGTTTTTCCTATCCTGAAGTATTTTATTTTGAGACACAAAGAAATTAAATTCATTATTACGATTCATGTCTTTTTTAAATTTTTTTACAATAATTAAGGTGTAACACATTTACGTGGCTTTCTTTACTTCTTAACTACTCAAGATCAGCTCCTACCCCAATTGGTACAGATCAACGTTGGTACAAAAAAAAAAAAAAAAAAAAAAAAAAAAAAAAAAAAAAAAAAAGTGTGTCCAGGAAAGAGGACAAATCATAAAGTCTTAGGAAGGGATATGACCTCCTCTAACTGCAATGACTGCGTTGCACCATTTGTCTATACTCAACACCAGATTACCTTACAATTCTTGGCGTAGGTGTGCCTATTCTTCAAGCAGCATATGTTTCATTAGTCTGGTGTTCTTCAGAGAGAGATCAAGCCGTTAGGCGTCTCAAGTATTGCACACATTTTCAATGGGAATTAAATCAGCGGAAGACGCTGATCAATCCATTCTACGGATATCTTCACTTTCTAAGAGCCGTTTTGTGCACTGTCGAGACCAAAGACACCTCGGAATATATAGAATCGCCATTGGAAACGGAAACCAAGAAGGCTGCCCATCTTGACGTTACTTTCCCCATTTTATCTGAAAGTAGACATAACCTTACAGAAACTATCTCCAACATAACTTTTTACATTTCACTATGGATAGTGTTTGCATCGATATTTTTTCTTTCTTAGGTGGTGTGCTGGTGTATTTAGTAATTATGGCAAAGCATACTAGGGCTATCTGCCTAAGGGGAGGGATGCCTTCGTGGAAAGACCTTCTAAGGGAAACTGGCTCGTATACAAGTTACCACATGGGGAAAACACCCATGCAGCCAGAACCTCGGACCGAACTACCAGTGTTCAGCGACTTTACCCCTCGGTCGCTGGTGGGCTTTTCTTTCTTAGAATTATATGTCTCTCTCTATATATTTCTTAGAATAAATATGTTTCTACTTTCAAACTGAGTTTCTCGCGTTCTCAATTTAGATTATCCTAATGAAGTAAGAAACTTTGATTCTACTTTAATATTTGCTTATCGCCAATTAACTGCGTTTAGATGGTAAACAAATGAATTGCGCGTTTCTTCAGTATCTGATTATGAGCTTGAGTGCAAGTTTACTTCATCCGAAATCATAAAACATATCGAGATAAGATATTAGAAATAAAAACAGAAAGGAAACTGTTATAAATTACCACCAGATGATATAAAAAAAAAACAGGCCTGTCGCGGAGCAAAAGTAATGTAATTGTGTACAGCGCATTTGAAAAACAGAAATAGGAATGGCTACTACTACGTAAATAAATATTCAATTGTGAAATTAGACAATAAAAACTATCAACTATGGAAACAAAAACTAGAAATTTATTGAATTTAATCGCTAACGATACACCAAAAGAAATTTCCGCTGATTGCATAAAATGAGATGAACGAGCACAAGCTACCTAAATCTACTCTTGAAAATAACCAAATCGTACATATAAAAAATAAAACAACAGCTAAAGAAATATGGAATGAATTAAAGAAACTTCACGAAAGAAACAATCTCTCCATCAAACTTTATCTTCTCAGAAAACTGTATACATTAAACGCAGAAAACGAATACAAGCTCGAAGAACAAACACATCGACAAAATGCTCGAGATCGGAGAAGACAAAGGAAAATCATATTGCAGCACTATTACTAAGCAGCTTACCTTAGTAATTAGTGCTGCAAGTAATAGTGTTACCTTAGTCATAGTGCTTAAGATTGCTATGAAAATCTTATTACAGATTTAGAAGCATGCTCAGAAGAACAATTGAAGTTGGAATATGTAATAACGATACTGATGGACGAATGCTCGAAGAAAGGAAGGCATGCGAACAGAATAGACAGCTGCTTTCTAAATTAATTTCGACAAAAAATTTGAACATTTCTTCAACGAAGATGCAATTATTGAAAAAAAAAAAAAAATAGGATATTTAGAAAACGAATGCAGGTTCTTAAATAACAACAAAGAAAAGGTAAAAATGGGTTACTTTTCAAGACCGGTTTTCAAGAATAAAAATCAAATGAATGAAGAAAACTATAAAAATAAACAAAAAACGAAAGTTGCTGTAAACGAGGATGCACATGAAGATGAAAATAAAAGTAAGTTTCGTTTATTTAATTATGGCAAAGCACACTAGGGCTACCTGCCTAAGGGGAGGGATGGCTTCGTGGAGGACTTTCTAAGGGAAACTGGCTCGTATACACGCTACACATGAGGAAAAATAAAAATAAGACGTTTGAAAAGCCTGAAAATTAAACAATCGAAGTTACGAAAGAAAGAAAATTCCAAAACTAATTGGTCAGTTGATGCAGGAGCCACATGTCATACGACCGATAACATAAACGTTTTCAAGAAACTGGATAGAAGCAAAACGGAGTAAATAGCAACTGCTAATGGAACTCAAAGCCCAAAGGCATCGGGGAAAGATACTTCTATTGTATAGACGAAAATAACGAAATAGAAATAAACTTCATAGACGTTTAATATGTTCCTAATATCGAAGAACTAGCATCCGTATGAAAATCACACAAAAAAGGGTTTACAGTTGAATTTGCAGAAGATACTTGTAGAATACAGAAGCAAAGTAAAACCATAGGACTTGCTGAGACAGATGAATATTTATATAAGGTAATCGAATTACAAAAGAAAAAAGCCAAATTTTGAAGCTAAAAAAGGACCGAAAACATCTTTAGAAGACTGGGAAACAGAAATTCTGAAGCAATCAGGATGCTGAAGAATTGGGAAAGATAAAGAATGCGAATGTTGGAATTGTCATATCCCAAGCTAATAAGTTACAGAGAAAAATCAATTTTGTTCTTGATACATTCGGCCATTTGTAGATTTATTGGTACGATATCACTAGAAGAAAAAAGTACTTCATAAAAATGCATCGATGATTAGTACCGGCTGCAAAAGGTGGAGCAACCAAGTTAAAGCAATTTGTAACCATAGCAAAGAACAAGTTTGTAAAGAAGCAAAAAGTCTTAAGGGCAGACAATGTAGGAGAACAAAGAAACTGAAGAATGTCTAAAATAAGGGGGAATCGAACTTCTGTAGCATATTCACCACAATGGAACGGTTCAGGAAAAAAAAAAAAAAAGAAGAAAAGGTATAATTAAAATACACAAGATTCCTACTACTCGATTCGGGACTCGAAGGGAAATTTTGAGGCAAAGCCGTTAATGACATCTACGAAGCAGACTGCTGTGAAGATCAACTGAAAAAACGCCGTACAAGCCCTGGAATAATAAAAAGCTGAACGTAGGCAGCATCAGTATTTTCAGCAGCGTGGTCATCAAAAGAAGTATAATATTGGATGAAAATAAAAAGGAAGCAATACCTTGTCAATTAAATGATCAGAATGAAGTACTATAATGGCGTTTCAAAGAAAATGCAAGGAAAGAATCATGTACAGATGCTACAATAGAAGGAGGAATCGAAACAAAAGAAATTCTATTAGCGAGAAGATCTAGAAGAACGACTAAGGGAATCCCATCAAACAGATTCTCATATAAGGCAAAGAACGTAGAAATCAAAATTCCTAAAGATTGTTTTTTCCAGCCAAAGGACAGGAACTGTAGTCGAAATCCCCCCCCCGAAAAAAAGCAATCAATAAAAGAGGATACCAGTATTATCAAGTGCTATTTTGGTTTCTTCTAAATTCTGTCGTACTCTTAAAACATTTCATATAATACATCTTTAAGGAACATGAAGAAAGGAACTATCAAGTTTAATTTACTAATTTTAGATACAATAGTACCAAGCATAATATTACCTTTCAAAATAGCTAATCCATACTTATATATCATTTCCAGCCATGTTTTCAGTCCTTGTTCAGTCTCCATGACTTCTTTGTAGCTAATTTCCGGCATTATTTTTTTTATAGTTTCTCCATTCCATGTCACCATAGGGGGCAAACTATCATGAACATAATCATAGCTATCTAGTTCGAACCCCTTTCCATATTTATGCAACCTGTAAATACACAATTTAAAATATTCTATTTAATCACAAAGCATGGTACATAAATTAAGGTTTCATATTTTAGCTTCAAATTTACTACTGTAAAATATCACTTTCTCACCATTGAGGATCATAGAAACTGACATGTTCTCCGTCACCATCTGGCCAAACTATCTTCAGCTTCCCGTTTTCAGTCAAATGATAGGATTTAGGCTTAATATTGATGTTAAGACTTACTGTATCTAACATCTTCTGTCTGCTTACTGGATGAATACATTTTTCACACTGGCAATTGTCCCGCAACTAAATAAATGATAATATAATAAAAATAACGTTCAACTATCATTTCCTGCAGAAATTTAGTTTTATAATACACAAGTTTATTTTTAAAACATATCATTTACCTAAAGTCTTTTTTGCCTGTTACCAGTCGACGAGCGAATATAAATACGTTTTGATGGGGAAACAAGATAAACAAATACAATGGCTATTTTCTGAATGAATGCCGACAAGCCCAATGAAAATTTTCGGGCATACCGTTATTCTTCAATTGAACTTCAATGAACCCAGCCGTCAGTTTTAATGGTAGAAGCTCTGTATTTCAGTTTTATTTGAAGAGCTGGAAAAACACTTCCTACTGTGTCTAGTTGGCGAGCAACAGAAGGTTGCGATAGAAACGTCCATATTAAAATAGCAGGCCCTTATTTGGTTCAAAGGAATTTGAACAAGTTTGTTAATTGACAGGGAAGCTTACAAGTTTGATGTTTTTAAGGCCACATTAATTAAAGTATGTCCAGCAATTGGCTCAATTAGTCTTAGTTATTCTGAAAGTATTACCTGGTAGGGGGGAATTGATAACGTTTATATTAAAAAGAGTAAAAATTGCGAAGTTACTATATGGACGAAAGCTGAAGAACGAAGCCAAATAGATGAATATGCCGAGGGCTCTACTGCAGTACAAGATTCCCTCGAGTTGAGATATCTCGGCACGCTGGGATAATTATTGGAATTAGTTGTGATGTACGAAAGCCGGGTATACGCGGAAAGACTTGATATATCGGAAATATAGTTATACATTCATCTGCAACTGCTGAAAACAGAATTTTCGGAAGAAATGAACAGTAGTCAAGAGTAGAACTAGAATAGAATCTGACGAAATAAATTGTCGAAGGAGCGCAGAGGCTGTCGCCAAGATGGTTTGAAAAAGGGTTCTGATAGAAAGAGAAAAGCTGGTGTTGAAAACAAATAAGGCGTGTCATTTGAATTTGGAACGGTTGCTGAGTATCAGACAGGTTGTCATCCCAGCGTATGCAGAAAACCACTCCAAATACAGTTGAGCAACGGTGATGCTGGAAAATGTGAAGTTGCGACATATGCAGGTACTTTGAATTGAATGTCTTCAGGGCGTTGTTGGATACGAGGGCAGAAGAGCAGTTTCCTAGCAGAGAGAAATGTTTCATGAAATATTTTAGGCGGTACAAAAATTTTAAAATGTTTGATTTCAATGATTTGGGTATGGGAAAGCACGCAAGCGCTATATGCCTAAGGGAAGGCAAGACGTTGCGGAGGGCTCTTTAAGGGAAACTAGTTCGTATCCAAGTTACACATAGGTCCAAACACGAAAATGCTTCTCAGCGGGTTCACCTGAGAAAGAACCCAAATTGAACTACCATAATTCAGTGACTTGCCTGTTCAGCTGCTGGTGGGCTCTTTAAGTTAGGGGGCCGATGGTCTTAAAGGCGCAGGGTTAGTATTATAAGAACATAGGCAGTGTGCCGTCGAATGTGCTGTAGAGAACAAAATGGCATCAAATATTGTTTTATGGGGCCAGGAAGTTTCAAGCAAATATGATATAGGGTTTGGATTTTTGAAGTTGGTTGGCACACGCATAAATTTTTAAGCAGGAACGGTGGAGGTGAATATGAAGGTTAGGCAAGAAAAAAGAATTTACCCTACCAAATCCTGAACCTGCAAGACAGACAGTTAAAAGAAAGGCTCGAGATGTTAGGAAATACTTTTTTCGCGTTGTTCGACAAGACTTCAGGGTTAACACATAAGAGAGATACTGGGACAGTCCGCTATGTACATCAGAACAAAGCATATGACATAATGAAAGAAAAATCGTAGAAACACATATCAAGGAAAAGATTAAAACTAAAATTTTTATTCCCACAAGTAATCCCTAAAAGCTAGTCCAGTGGTTTTGGGTCTGAAAAAAGAATAATTTATCAAACACAGATGAAAATTCGGGGCACATCGCTGTCGATTACAGGAAGCTATATAGTGAAACTAAATATCCAGGTTACTGCTACAAATAATTAAAGAAACTGTTAAGAAAATTAGGTCAGCTAACATATATGATTAGACTTAATTTAACTTCCGAGTACTTTCATATGCACATGACGCGCAAGGTTAGGTTAGGTTAGGTTGCTTGAATGGGAGAAAGCACGCGAGGGCTATCTGTCAAAGAGGAACGATTTCTAACAGAAAATGGCTCATATTCACGTCTACATAGTTAAAAACCGTAAAAACACCCCTGAGCCAGCCTTCCACCTGCGTTTGAACTCGGGAACAGCGTCCGGTGTCGACATTAGATCAGAGACCAAAGTGGAAGCACCCAATTAAACCCAAAAGTCAGAAAAATTCAAGATCTCAGATTCAGCCAAGCCAGCAGTGGTAGATGTAAGGGAGCTGACATTTGTAACGTGTTAAAGATTATCGACCCACCCTGCATAACCTTTTATTGCCAATTGCAGTAAGAATGCTCTTTAGGAAGATGCAGAAATATTGGAATTTTGGCTAATCTTTGGAATATGGTAACAGGTAGTTTGGCGACATTTTGGTAAGCCGATAAAGGTTACTAGCTAAGACTTTAGCAGTGTACATGGATAAAGTCAAGAGTGTGCACAATGCCATTTTTGTGCAATTCTGGGATGTTTTTTAAGTGAAAATAGGTCGACGTGTACATGGATGATACCGTGTATGTGCAATTCTTAAAAACGCGGCAAGCAGTGGGCGATTCTGCACTTTCTCCCAATTTCGCACCTAATCTTCGTCATGATTAAGCACTTTTGTTCCATAAAAGTTCTAGCATAAGCGTAATTCGGCTAGCAGATTGTTGGAAAAAGTGTTGAGTAAAAAAAGAAAAAAAAATGCCTTTACTTAGTGAAAACAAAATGGCGTCCAAACAAAAACTAGCAGGTTGCTGTAGCAGGGTTGGTCGCCGAATTTTCGCCAAAAACCTCCAAGTTACCATAATCCAAAGATTAACCGGATTTTTTTATCGATTTTATCAAAAGAAGAATAAGATAGCAGTTCACTATCTCATCATCTTGATTATTACTAATCCAATGTTTAAGAAGGACTTCGAAATTAAAAACTTTTTGGATTACCATCAGTTTCAGAACACAAAATTAAGTTTCAGAACACAAAATTAAGGATTTGATTATTAGCTGTTAAAAATTTCTCTATTCAGAAACATACATTCAGTCTGATACCAAATAATTCATGTTTACTATTAATATCGAAGTACAGAAAGTAAAATTTAATTGCTTTTACTCAGTATTTGATTTTTTTCAAAATATTAATCATGTGAAAAATTTCATAAACACATATATTTTCAAGACGGCTAAATTACCTGCCTTCTTCATTAGCAAAGCAAGAAGTATTGTTGAATTTTTTTTAACCGAGAGAAATTTCATTCCTCGTAATGATACGCTTATTTCAATAATAAAATTTTTTATTTAAAATACGGAAACTATATACTTCAGTATTAATTTCTTACCGATTTTAATCACTTAATGTATGCAGAAATTCTAAAATCAATAGCCTTACTTTTCAAAGGCAGATTCGTGTCTTCTGACTGACCGACAACTACGCTTCTTTGACCACCACTGTACGAATTACCTTCGAAGAGAATTATTAATGTACAAGCACTCAAAAAATCATTGTATGCTCGTTTTATTAGGAAGAATATCGGAAATTATTAGAGAAGGAACTTTAAGTGAAACGTAGACTCACTTCGAGCGGAATGTCGATATTGCTACTACACGTCACGTTTCTCTCCGTTTTAGTGTACGTATTCCAGTTTTTTCATATTCCACTTTTCTCACCTGGGAGAAAATGTGCAGTGCATCACAGAAAAGTCTATTTCTACCATGTATTCTCACCACATTCCCCACTTCTTTCCAATTACCAATGTATGACTACAACGAAATGGCACCACAAGATCCACTGTTCAAGTCCTGCACTTGTAACATGCCAACAAATTCTTCTTCGACTAAATATGAATAAGCATAATGAAGTGAAGTTTAGAGTGCCAATTTGTCTATTGTAATTGTCAATTAAATTTGTAAGCATTTGGTCAATTAAATTTGTAAGCAAGGGGCGAAATTAGTAGAAACAGTTTCCGCCCCTGGCAGCTAAAATGGCCTTTACCCCATTAGGCATAGAGTCAAACTGGACTTGGATGACAGAAATGGGCAACTCATTCCTTACTGCTTCAAGTCTATAACCACACTTCATTAACCATTAACCGTATTAGCTGGATAGGGGTGGCGGGTCAGTCTCTCAGCAACCCATAACCAGATATTTTCAATGGGTGACAGATCTGGAGACCGTGCAGGCTAGCGCAGCAGTTGAAAATACCCTGTGTATCGAGGAAGGTCAGAACACGACGTACAACATGGAGTCTTGCATTATCTTGTTGGAACATTTAATAAGTATAACCATTTGAAAATGAATTAGCTATATATCTTGCGTTACTCATTTATGAAAATTCACATGATCAGTAACTGAAATCATTTAAACTATTTCATTTTCTTACTTTCCTCATGAACGAAACGACTATTTTGTTATTTGAAAAGTTTCTTCTAATCATTACTGTCTAAATCTAATGACATTAGTAAACTATTTTGAAGAGGAAGATGTTGGCATCTGTCTGGTAAAGAAAAAATTTGCACATTTCTTACCCATATGTACTGGAAATCTGAAGCAAGATTATCTTCGAAACCAATTTTCAGTGATTGATGAGATGTAGGAAATGTCTTCGTGATACACACTGGTTGGAAATTTGGATTAATTGCCGCCGTTGCTCTTGTTCTGTATCCTAGTCAAGGAAAATATTTTGAAATTAACTAATAAGCATTTTACTAGCACTTTTAATAAGCAAAAGGAACATAAACAGGAAATATTTCGAAATGAAGTACTTAATATTTTGCGAGCACGATATGATAAAGTGGAAGTGAACAACAATGCATAGAAGCAGTAAAACTGAGGAAAGAAAATTTGATTATTATTGTAAGTTTCGTAGATCTGGAGCCTTTCCATTACATAACGGGCCCACCAAAATCAAATAAATCAAAACATTACAGGACAACACTCGACAAACAATTTTCCTTAGAAATCGGCAATGTTGCTTGTTGACAATTGTTAGGTTAAATGTGTTTTTCCTTATCTCTTATGAAGATTGTTGTTGTTTCAAAGAAAGTATTGTCAGTAAAGGTTTTTAAAGTGCTTGTTTCTATTTCCTTGTTTGCTTATGGAATTAATCTATGAGATAAATATATTATGTTTATAAAACTTTTATAGACATCGAAATGAATTGAGGAAGAATATCTTCTTTTTCGCTGAAAAGCATCAAGTTCGAGCATAAATCTTACTAAAAAAATGTTTGGCTCGTTATCATGGAAAATTTAGATTCCTTGAATATGGCAGAGCCCACGAAGACTATCTGCCTAAGTGAAGGGATGCCTTAGTGGAGAACTTTCTAAGGGTAACCGACTCATTCATGTTATAAATGAGGAAAATTACGAAAGCTAACCATGCACCACCTGTTTGCATGAAATCGAACTCTGGTCGAACACTTCCAGTATTATGCGCTCTAATGACCCGGTCAGTTGTTAGGCCCTATAATGGAAAGGATTCGAACAATTTTATCGATTAATGCTCATCTTGAAATTTTTTATTATTTGTACTTTTCATAAATCATTAACTTTTATGTAAGCACATAATTTAACAAAGAAAATGGTATTCACTTACATCTCTTGTTTCTTTCAAACTAGTAGGTAACTGGAAAATACCAATTTTCCGTTATTAAATCAATAATAAATTGTTAACTATGGATCTTGAAAAATTGAGCAAGTAAAGGTAGTGTAACAATAAATAAAATTACATAAAAATAAAATGAAATACGTCAAAAGAAAAAAATCTAATTAAAAAATTATTGGCAAAGATAAATCTTTGACCTTTCCCACTCAATTTGAATTTAATTTAATCAAGCTTTACCATTTCTAATACGAATAAATGCCTGGTTAATCATTGCTTTATACATCTCTTTGCTAAGACTTATTCTCTGCTTATACCATAGTAGAAAGTAACTTATGTTCAAAACTCTCTAACATATATATATATGATAAATGCTACGCTGAATGCTCGAAGCACGTGTACTTCATCAATAAAAATATACGCATTAAATCATTTTTATATTTAATGTATTGAAGCATGCTATCAGTTTTTATCAACTGCCCACAAAGAGAGATTCTAACAATTTTTGGACATACTAGTACTTTCAATAAAGCTTACGGCGTCTTTTCCTTTTGAATAACATTTGTCGATGATTCGTAATTTGTCAACAAAGCCCTTCTAAAGGCAGTCCTGCTAATGGGAAAATGACAGAATAGACGTAAGGAAATAAAGCTTGATACTTATTGTATATGAAGAATGTATACCTGAATATTATCTCTCTGCTAATCTTGATATATCCACAGTGTAAAATTTTCATTCGAAATATTGATACAAAAAGCAGTTTTGACACAAATGAATATCATAAAAATTAATTTAGTTAAATTTAGTATTAGTTTTAATGTTGAATGCAAAATAAATAACTGTTGATCACAGAAATGTGATTTGAGCAGTATGCTTGAATCTTGATTCTTAATTTTACTGAATGCTTTTTTTAATGTAGATATCTCAAAATACTGCTTTTGTACCAAAATACCAGGAAGAATATATTAAAAAGGAAGAACAGATAAAAGAACTATTTTTTTGCTGATGCACAAAATATTTTGAAACATTGAAAAAATTAGACAGCTCCGGGTCAGCTCAGCATCTTCAGATTTTTACAACGTAACTTCCCCCACCCAGGGGGGATGATAAACTACTTGAGAAAATTTACCATTTTTATTCTCATTCATTTTATGATATTTAGTTTTCTTCGTTAAAAAACGAAAATTCTTATTACATTGTCTCTGCCTGGATGATTACGGAATTAATTCCCCACTAGCAGCTGAGCGGTAAAAGTCTCTGTATACTGGTAATTCGGTCTGTGGTTCGAAAGGAGTGGCTGAGCGTGCGTTCTCGTGGTTTTTCCCATGTGTAGTGTGTATACGAGCAGTTCCCCTTACGATGTTCTCCGCGGAGGCATACCTCCTCTCAAACAAATAGCCCTCGAGTGCTTTGCCATAATCAAATGAACCAAACGAAGGAATTAATTGGAAAGACAATAATAATTCAGTCCTTCCAATAATCATTCAGTCACTGGAAAATAGTTTTCTTTTCAATTAAATAAAGGAGCGACAACATAGGTTAGTCGAAAACAATGCATAAATTTCAGTATTGTTTAACAATTGGTTTCTTGGTAACTCTAGAAGCTCTGGGTTTTGCCACTTCGGACAGCAGCATCGAACAAATATTAATTTCTCCATTTTCGACAAGGATCATTTTTAGGAACTTACTTTTTAACGGAGAAGGATTAGCTAATTTTGGCGGTAATTCGATAGAATTAGGTTTTCTTTATTTCGGGTGGAAAATGTTTGGCAATCGTTTCTAAAATAGCTTTGTAGAGTTTTTTTACCCTAAACTAAAACGACTTCAGATAGTGTCTTGCCCCTAATATATCTTGTTCTGCATTTTTATTTTCATGATACTGTTGTCGTACAGGCTTACTTCTCTGAAATAATTGTTCCAGTCTATAACAGTACTATCAGCCATGTTGAGATTTTCCACGCAAAATCTTATCGATGTCATTTTCTTAAACCAACAGTAGATGAATCTAATGTCAGCCTGCTGCAAATCAGTCGCTCACTCGCATTCTAACCAGTTCTTTGTCTTTCGAACATCGTCATGAGCTCTTCGATCGACTAGAAAACTTCATTTCTTCCATATTTGGAACATTGACGGTTACTCGGCAATACATTATAATCTTGTAAGAAACTAAAAGGCATCATCTTCATTCCGTGGTAGATCCCATAATGCCATGATCGCACTATAAGCTCGAGGGGGAAAAAATCCGTTCTTAGAACTGCTGAATATAGGCGTTTTTAAACTTAGCCATGTTATATGGTTGTATTCGCAATTAATTTATGTTATGGTGGAAAAGTTGGCAAATATTCGCTCTTCTTCTTTTTTTTTTTTTTTTTTGGCGAATTTAGACTTTTTCTTCGTAACCGTTTTGCCCATTTTCTGCCTTTTAACCATCAGGATTTAAGTATTTTAAACTACAAATATCATCTCGAAACTGGAAGTTTCAGGAATTGTTTAAATAAGAAAGAAACGCACTGGTTTAGAACTGCAAACTTTGGAGACTAACAACACATGCGTATTTATAAAACTACATTCACTTTTTCTCCGAATTTTATGTAGTCTAGCAGTTTATAAATCAGTTTTCTTAAATATTAGAAAAAAAATTTAATCCTTTGCTTTACTCAGTACAGATTTCATTATACAACAGAATAAAACGCCTTGTGATTGAGTTTATTTACACTTTATTTTACCTCCCTTTCTCATCAGAAAATGTTATATGGATTGGTTTGAAATTAAATTAGGATCTAATAAATTCTTGAAACTGTTGTTTGGAAATGTTATCAAATATGACGAACATAAAGAGGGATTGGATTAGCTTATAGACGCTCGGGAATATCCTGGATTTTTTTTCGGGGGGGGGTTAATCTATAAATACGGTTCATAGCACTGAATTTGAAGTAATGCACATAAATAAATTTCGATCTCAATGTGCTTGAGTCATTAGAAGCATTTTAGCTTATATAACTGAAAGTAGAACACACTTCAAATTACCATGCGAGATATCGTTAAGGAAAGAAGAGGTCTTAAGTTCTAAAAGATTACAAACCTGTTTTATGGATATCACGTAGGAGTTTAATTTTCATATTTGTAGGCTTCACAAGTCCTCGGAATGACTGGCGTGCACCAAATTGGTACAAGCTGCACAAACTTTTTAAACGCATCATTTAATTTTTAAAGGGAACCTATGGAAAAAAAAATAGCATTCAAAGGTAATATTTGAATCAAAATAGCTTTTACTCCTAAGGAAAATAATGAATATTCCTTCTAATTGATTCTTGAACGTATAATAAAAATCTGGGTAAAATCCTAGCATACTGTACGGCCTTGGCTCGATTTTGAAAATTATCGCCAACAACAAAATGACTCGTTTACTGCTCATCATAATGTAGCCAAATCCCGTGTGTACCGTATATTAGAATTAAACCAAAATCTATTTAAACAAAAAACAATAATAAATTTAGCAGAGTAAAAGAAGCTTAGCATTATATGCAAAAACGGGTCCACTCAATTTAAGGTATATGAGCTATTTTTCACTACAGAAAACCAACCAGTTTTCTATAGAGATACACATATACCCTGACTGTACACAAAATGCACTACAGTAGTAGTCATAATTTATTTTCTGTTTACTTTCTGTGAATTCATGTACAGTCTGCTGAGGAAAGACCCCAATGCACAGTTGAACAGGTTTTAGCCGACATTATTGAGCATTGGCTACCTCCAAAATACAATAAATGTGTTATCTCTTACAGTAGTGCTCTTTTTTAAAAGTAGAAACTGTCAAAAAGTTTGGCATTCTATTTTAGTTCTTTGTGTATTGAAATTATTTAAAGTAAGAGACATCTGTTTCCTTTATCTTACATCTCTTTTATTGAGAAATTCATTGCCATATTGTCCTATAATAGAAAAGATATAATACGCGCTTTTTTTTTTTTTATGAAACTAAAATATTAGAAAACGGAATAGATATTTTCTAATATTTAAAATAGTGTAAGCTATTACAGTATTTTAAATATTAGAAATTTAGTATATTTAAAAGTGTACTGTATTATTATAAATTTATACGCTTCATTTACTTGCGAATTTTCGCTCTTCTAAGTATTCATAAAAATATGCAAAAATTGTTAAAAATTTTAAATTTTTTCCCCCAGAAATTTGATTTCATGCTATGCACAAAGTGGTTAGACTTAATAGCAATTCTTTTAAAAAATAAAGTACTACCTCCTAGTTAATATCAAGTTTATATTAATTAACTAATATTTTTTATTATGAAAAGAATATTATAAAATTTTCCTTTGAATGTAACGCTTCAGCGATCTCCCAGAAGAGTAGTTTCTATACTGCGTTATTTAGATTATGACAAAGCACTAAGCGTTATCTACCTAAAGGAAGTGATGCCTTCGTGGAGATCTTTTAAAAAGAAAACTGGCTGGTGTGTGTTTACACATGCAGAAACCTACAACCCCACCCCATGAAGCCAGCCCGTTGACCAGGACTTAAATCCAGATCAAACTACCAATATTCTTCAGCTGCTGGCCGCCTCTGTACTAGATAAAACATTGTAGATGTCTCTAATTCTACTCTTTAAAGTAAGTAAAGTTCAAAATCTAAAGCATCGGTGTACTTAGCGTACATGAGATTTAAGTTATAATAATATAAATATAATTACAGATTAAGTTATAATAATATAATTACAGATTAAGTTATATAATATAGTTACAGATTAAGTTATATATATTTTGTATCCGCGAAGGCTGTCTATCTTATGAGGTGGTGTCTTTGTGGACATTTTCTGTCGTACACATGAAAAACAAAGTTTAAGTTAATAAATTCACAACTGTTGCACAAAGAATGATTGGAGAATAAATAACAAAGCGACGGTTAAATTGAGCATGATATACGATTTCTAATTTTTCTTTCCATGCTTACAATGATATCGAAACTTTCGATATGCACATTTCAAAGCCATTCAGTAAACATACGACTTCAGAATTAATCAATAGTTTATGATTTAAAACCTTTCAATCTTTCGATGTCTTCATTTTACATGTTACATATTTGAGTCTATATAAGTTTGTGACTGGTTGAATGAATACAGCAAAATAAGCAAAAGGATACCTTCGTGAAAGACATTCTAAGAAAATGTGGTTTGTATTGTTTCCATTCAAATAGGAAAAGCAGTACAAAATCCATGCAACCAGCTCGTTTAGAGTCTAAATGAATTAGAAATAAATTCTAATTTCTTTCTGATAACTAAGAGCTCTTAAAATGTGAAATTAAAATTAATTAAAAAAATTCTTATGTGAAGGAATGTGCTCAAAGAGATCTCTAAATTCTCATAAGGCAGTTCGAATATTAGCATATTTTATAAAAGATGTAGCACAGACTATCTCAACATCATCAAACTGTGTTTCGCGGAGTCCTGGTGCTCTTCAAGTCGGAACCAAAATTCGGAGACCCCTTTTTTTAATAAAATGTAGTTTGCAAGGATAAACATATAAAATAAGTAATATTGATTTATGTACATACTTTTAATTTCTGCCATGTCCACTAGCTGCTGATTGGTAAGAACGCTAAACACTGGTAGCTTAACCTGGGTTCAAATCCCGGCGAACGGGCTGGCTGCATGGGGTTTCATCGTTATCCCCCATGCGTAGAGCTAGTTCTAATTAAAATGACCTTTACGAAAGCATCTCTTCCCTTACACAAATAACCCTCAAGTGCTTTGCCTTATTTAATTAGCCTATTTTGTTTTCTTTGCTTTTGATACCTGAAATAATAGAGTAGATATGTTTTTATGCAAAAGATTTCAAACAGTTCGCGGCCGTTAAACTTAGGTAATGTGTGTCCTTCAATCGATAAAGTTTTGAAGACCACTGGCCTATCTCATAACCTCGAAAACTTCCTCCTTATAGCTTATTACAACATTTGTAAATATTACTTACATTATCTTGAAAAGTGTAACATTGTTCAAACAAATTTAAATCAAGTCAAATTATGAGCATAGGTTGCAATATAAAATTCCTTAAAATCTGCCTTGTGTTGGATTTGACACTAAAAAAGCATTATTTAAAAGCAAATATTGCAATTAGATTGGCAGTTCTTGTGAATCTGCTGATTATAATGCCCTCTAAATTTTTTTTAAAAATTCTGTTCTAGGATTTAATAAGATGCTTGCTTTGACGTTTACAGAGTTATATTAAATTGCATTGTTACACGTTTAATGTTGAATGGACAAAATGTAATAAAACGTAAACATCTTTGTAGTTACATCTTTTGTAGAAAAACAAGGGATATTTCGGTAAGTGTTCATTTCCCTATGAAATTACGAAATGCAAAATTAAATAATTAATTTAAATATGGATAATAAAGCTAAAAGTAATGCATAACTATACTCTAATAGGTTGTAATTTCTTTGATAAAATTCAACACTATTTTCAAATAAGTTTTTTTAAATTAAACACTTTTTCATATTTTAATATTAAACATAAGTATTTTTCAATACAGTTTGCTTAGAGCTGTATTGTAATTGCAAGACGTAGATTTTACCTGTAGGTCAGAAACAAAAATAATATTTAAAAAGTGAGATAAGTTTAAGATAACTTACGGATAATGGTTTCGAATTATCTCCTTGCAATGGCGGAAGAGGCTTGCCGTATGCGTTTGAGTAAAGTGCAGTGACGGAGGCACTTATTCTATCCTCTTATCAGGTAGATGGGATTTCTGTGTGACCTCGAGTAGCATTTTTCATTGGATAGCGGATATCAAGAAACTAACTTATCGTTGCTCAAAACTAGGTGAATGAAAATCATTATATACAAAGGGAAAAAATCTTCATGTTCATAGATGTATTGATAATAGATAAAAACCGCATCAAAGCAGTAATAAAAGTAAAAAAATGCATAAATAGATTAAATGCATTATCTGAAGTCCAAGGCACTCTAATTTAGCATAACGGCGCATTAAACTTTGAATTTTACTAAAGGTGAAATGCAATTTTGAAATCATAGAATAAATAATATATTCAGGACATGCATACTCCTCTTCCTGATAGTGAATACACTCAATTTATTTCGCTTATTACTCGGAAAGATTATCGTAGAAAATTGTTGCTGAATGATCCGTGCAAAGGAAAGCTTATAACTAGTTTGCTTACTTATGGTAAGGCACGCGAAGGTCTGCTTAATTACGGCAAAGACGCGGTTCTGCTTAGGGGATAGATACCTTCATGGTAGAATTCTTAAACGAAATTCACGTTATTTACGCTGAAAACATGCTTCCGTCAGGATTCAAACCTAGTCGAACTACTAATGTTCTACTGATGCCTCTAGTGTTCTGCCGCTGCAATACTAGTGTTTAGCGGTACTAACCATTACACCGTTGATAAGCCACAAAAGCTAACTCATTTTGTACACTGAGGAAATTTTAAACTTTCTTGCATTACTACTTTCATAAGGGCAATATGTGAACACCGCTTACTTACGTATTAGCATAACCTCTTGGCGCAGTCTGCCGAATTTTGCAGAACAAGAATAATGACTTATCATTATAAAAATTACTTATTACATACATACCTTAAGTGTTAATTAAGCATTTATCATGAAAACCAATTAATAAACCTACTTACAGGTATGTTTTTATTATTATTTTTTTTCCCTGGTGGAAATTTGGGGGCAATCGCTTTAAAAAGAGATTTAAAGAAATTCTTCCCTTCAGCGATTTTGCGGCAAAATAAGATATTCTTGAAAACATTTTACCGCAGTTTCTTCCATCGTAGGCGAATCTCATAAGGCATGTTTTAAAATCGAGTTTAAACAAAAATATTTTGATTTATATTAAAAATATTGGAATACAAAAAAAAAAAAAAAAAAAAAGTATACGGGGAAGGCGTCGTTGCTTGTTAAAACAGAAGAATTATTATGTACATGATTGTCAGACTTTGGAGCATTCTGAAAATTCGGTGGCTTCTGCTAAGATGATTGTGGTAATACGTGCTGAAATCCATTTCTCTTTTGTGTCAAACATTCAATAGCCACTTCCAAAGATCGTCTAACCGAGCGACATGCGCAATTAATCATTTGCACAAACTGTCATGATGACATATCATACAACAGTTCTTCGTAAACGCTTTTGTTATATATTATGGAAGATTTTTAAGATTGAATTGACAGTTTTTTTTTTTTTTTTTTGAAACATCTCTCTTTAACTTTGGAATATTCTGAAAACTTTTGCCCTTATATATATATTTATTTTTGAGAAAAACTTTCGAAATGCATAAAATAATCTATTTTCGTGAAGGAAAAAAGATATATTTGTTTTCTACTTTTTGCTTTTACTTCTGTTAGCTAAACAAATTTAGCAGTTTTAATTTTATTTAAGGAATAATAATTTTTTGTTTTACTTTTTGTTAAATGTCTCAAGTAATGCTAAGCTGTAGTTAAAATTGCAAATTTGCAGGCCATGATTATTTCCTTATTTTCATTTAATTCGCAGCTCGCGATCTTTCACCGCCCTCCTTTTTTCCCCAAGCGGGATTAAATAAGGTATATCTTTGTAGTGTAAAATAATCTACATTCATAGTCTATAGCACTCTTATCAAAGATCTGAATCTTTTCCGTCATAGGATGACATGTGCTAAACAATTTTCAGTACCACCCAGACGAGCTAGCAGTTAGTGACGCTGACTGCCGTTGCGAAGAGCTCGGGTTTGGTGGATATTTGTAAATGTATAGTATTTGTGCGGCATGGGGCTCTCAAAATACGTGGTTAAAGTCATCTCGAAGAGTTTGGTGGTAGAGGAAGAGGGATGGGAGATCTTTGGACTCGTCTCCGGGGGTGCTTTTTCTCAAAATTGGGGCACGGTTGGACAAAGTCGTACTGTAACTTACAGATGCTCTTGGCCCATGCCAACTCCAGACGCAGTCATGCGCTCCTTGACACAATAAAATTTGTGTTCTGATTAAATCAGGCTAGCCACAACAATAACAACATACTTGTAGATTTCTGAAGACAGATATATATGCCAGCTTGATACGTTCGGTGAGAAAACGTATTTTCGTCATCAGCACATTTCGACTGTGATAAAATTTTTCTAAGCATAAGAATTACAGCATCTAGGCTAGTTATTTCGGTGCTTGTGATTAGGTAACACTGATATATCACTTCTGACTGATTCTTACAAGCTTTCGGAAAGTGAAAGCTGTTTCGGATTTTTCTAGATCAAGAAATGTGAAATTTATCTTCCCTGTTTGCGTGTTTTTGTTGGCGCGCACGCTAATACTTTTAGTTTTTATTTTTATTTATTTATTTTTGCTAAGGCAGGGCACGAATGGCTTTTTACTTCCTTGTACGAAGTAAAAAGGAAGTATTGTAATCGCGAAAAGTTTCAGGCAGCATATTTCAACGAAAATATTCATTTTGACCGCTATCGAATGCAATTAACGATGTTTTTTTTGCGTGATATATCTTTACGTAAGGGCAGAATAAAATACTCTTTTCCTTCCTAAAAAATTATAAAACTGCTTTAAAATTAATTCTGAAAAGAATTTTTCGTGGAGTCTGTACGAACGTATGTACGTACTTGCGTACGTACGTATCTCGCAATAACTCAAAAACGAGTAGCCTCAGAATGTTGAAATTTTGTATATAGGGAATTCTATAACATGTAGATTGTGCACCTCGTATTTTCGGTTGCAATCGGCCGCACCAAACGTATATAAATATATTTATATATATATCCACTCTAGTACCCGGCTCAGTGATCTCAGTTTCTTTACTCTTATATGTTTGTAAATTGTACATTTTTTGCTTTAAAAATGATTGAATTGGTTGTTTTTTTATCTTCCGGTTAAGGATTTTATGCCTTTAGTAAATCTGTATGCAATATTTTTAGAATTATCAACAATTTTAAAGTTGTTAATTGCGCTAAGCCGTTTTTAATGGCGGCCATTGATTGTTTACATTTGAAACAGCAGAATAGTGGATTTGTTGCCAATCTAGAAAAACTTAGCTTCGCAACAACAAAGATAACGCATTCATTTATTATTGCCAATTAATCATGCTTAAGTCTTTCTGGAATTTTTCGAGGAAATAAGCGTTTGAAGATTTACTTCGTAATTTTTAATATGATATTTTGAGTTTTTATGTATTTTTGCCTTCTCGCGAAGTGAGAACTGAATTAATTAAATAGAAATACTCAATCGTCTGTGGAAAAATGTTCTGTTTTAAATTCAGAGTCAAACAACAAAATCAGCGTTTATTTACAAAATTTTCACAGGACTAGTTTCGATGTTTTACCGACCACCAGCTCAGCTGCAAAAACCGCAAAACGCTGATTTTTGTTTTGCTTCTGAATTATATTTATATTGTGTCTTAATTAGTTTCTGTTTTGTTTTGTTTGCTAATTTCTTTTATACATAGTTCTAACTTTATTATAGTATTTGAAGATAACATGTGGCAAACGATTAGATAATTCTTTTAAATGTATACATTTGTGCATTCTGAGTTATAATATGAATGAATATAATACTGTTAATAAACCTAGCGCAGAGTGTCGCTATGGTAAAACAAGTGAATTTTAAAGATACATTTATTCTATTGTGGTTTATGGCGAGTCGCGAAATAGGTTTAATTCAATCGAATAAGATTAAATGAAATTCAATAAAAATGCGTATAATTTAATATTCCGTACAGGGAAGTCATGCGGTGTACACATCAGATTTTTTATTTCAGTACACTGCAGACCATTAGAGCAATGCATATGTACATGCAAACTTATTTTTGGTAGCTCTTTTCCTCAGGAATTATTGTAACCGCATAATTATTGTTTATTCGATTAAGTCGACACAGATTGCAAGCCGAGTCCAGGTACTGAAAACGAAAATTATAAAAATATTGCCGCGTGGACGGGTTCGTAATAAACTGAATGCACAGTCCGATGAAAAGTGAATATAAAATTTATTATTATCACAAAAAAAACAAATGCTTATTTCCTAGATATTCGTACGATATTGCAATATCCACAATAGTTATATTTTAAATATTAAAACGTTCAACAGAACTAATTCAAAAACAGAGAAGCTAATCCGATTTCACCGCGAATTCGCTACAGTCATTACAGCGATAAGTGACAAATGAAATGAGTGTTTTCCTCCAGCTTTTTATAAACTTTTTAAATGCACGAGAAAATTCTCGTATTTTCTTGATTTTTATGGATATTAAAAGAGTACAATTACGAGACATCTTTTATTAAAATGTTAGATGCGCGTGCCCCTGTATTTAATTTTTCCGGCGTAGCTTTCTCTTCAAATAAGTCTCGTGCTACATTGTCTGGAATCGTGTCTTGAATGTCGTGTCTTCAAATAAGTCTTTTTGTGTCAACTTTTAATGCCTTTTTATCGCGTGTTTACTAAATTTGCCAAAATATGAAGAAGAATCAATCCACTATTTTCAGTATATGATATTTTGCTTAAAGATCGAGAATGTTCCAATTCTTAAGTAATGAAAACTATTTATGATAGAAGATGAACATGGAATATAAACTACGATAATGAAAGTGATCAAATAAGATCTGGGAAAGGATTCGAAAGAAGTCACGCATATATTTATTTAGCAGATTCCGTGTGGAAGCAGATAAGCTGCGGAAAATAATAATTTGATGCAATTTTAAATGCCTTTCCCAAGTAATCCCCGATGGAAATAAAAAGAAAGACCTACTTCATAGATCTACTGAAGTTAAAAATAGATTTCATCTCC